GGCAGTGGTACAAGAAGTTTGAATCGTTCATGACTGATCACAAGTTTGAAAGGACAGAAGCTGACCACTGCGTATTTGTGAAAAGGTATGAGGTCGGAGATTTTTTGATTTTGTTGTTATATGTTGATGACATGCTTATTGTAGGGAAAGACAAATCGAGGATAGTCGTCCTGAAGAAGGTGTTGAGCTCGTCCTTCGCAATGAAGGACCTCGGCCCTGCAAAGCAGATTATCGGAATCAAGATTATCCGAGATAGATAAAAGAAGCTACTATAGCTAAGTCAAGAGAAGTATATTGAGAAGATTCTGAAGAGATTCACATTGGACAAAGCCAAAACAGTGAGCACCCCCCTAGCCAGACACATTAAGCTGAACCAGAAGTAATGTCCGAGATCTGATGAAGACAAAGACGAGATGTTGAAGATCTCGTACCAATCCGCTATCGGAAGCTTGATGTACGCAATGGTTTGTACTAGACCCGACTTGGTGTTTGCTGTTGGAATGGTAAGCCGGTATCTGTCAAACCCCGGCAAAGAGCACTGTGAAGTAGTGAAGTGGATCTTCAAGTACCTCCGAGGTACGACCAACTTATGCCTCTTATTTGGAGAAGGCAAAGCCGAGTTGCAAGGCTACTCGGATTCTGATTTAGGGGGAGATTCCGACTCGAGGAAATCGACCACGGGATACATGATGAGATTTACCGGAGGAGCTGTCACTTGGCAATCAAGACTTCAGAAGTGTGTTGCATTATCTACAACTAAGGCTGAGTACATTGCCGCTACTGAGGCAAGCAAAGAGATGTTGTGGATGAAGAAGTTCCTCATGGAACTCGGCCATGATCAAGACAAGTACGAGCTGGGCTGTGACAATCAAAGTGCAATCCATCTTGCGAAGAATTCGACCTATCACTCCCGCACTAAGCACATTGATGTGAGGTATCACTGGATCCGGGATGTGGTGGAAGGTGGAGAGCTCGAACTCGTCAAAGTGCACACTGACCAAAATTGGTCCAACATGATGACAAATCCGGTTCCAACAAGAAAATTTGAAGACTGCTATGAAGGAGCCGGGTTGATGCTGAAGCCGACACATTGAAGTCGAAGGGAGAGATTTGTTGGGCTTCCTCCTTCAATGCTAAGCCCATTGAGGGGTTTCTCAAAAACCCTAAACCTTAAACCCTAGATCTCACATCCTCTATATATTCATTAGTTGTGGGTGGAGGCTAGGTTAGATTGTGAGAGAAAATTATTTGAGAAATTTGTGAGCAAAGCTTTGTGCTTTATATTTGAAAGATCTCTAGAGAGAGTTTGAGTGAAACATCTATAGGGTAGTTTGGTTATCACCATTGTTGGAGAGGTTGTGTTAACCACCATGTTGGGTGGTTTGCTGATGGTGGAAAAATATATATTCTGATGGAGGACATTCCTCTGTTCTAAATTTGTAAGAGAAAACAGAGTTGTTCCCTTACTTCCAACCTAAGTGTGCAAGTGCACGCATCAAGTAATAATGGGTGTATTAATGCCCAGATTATCGTTCCCACGAGGATAGAACTCTAAATAATGTCTTAGACTATTTTATAAAGAATGAAAATGAAAAGAAAAGTTAATGATTGAACTGTCTGGTCAAAATTTCCCTACTGTCTTGACAACGTTCCTCAGGAACAGTAAGTTTAGTCTGATGGCAAACAATTACTCGTTGCGTTATATATGTTATCCTTCCTGCTTAAGAGAAGGTGTGATAATAATCATTGGAGATTGATAGATACAAGATTAAATAAAGTAAAAATAAAACAGTTATAACTATAATCAAGAGACAACAAAGTGGATGGTTTAAAAATAGTTTAACACAAGGAACAGATTTACTGCTCCATTCTTAAATAGTTATTTTCTCTGCTCAAGACTTAGCACTTTTTAGCTTTGTCCCAGTTTCTTAACTGCCAACTCTGATTCCTCAGCTCATGGTCTGGATGACTCACAAGTTTCCATATTCCTATGGCTCCCTTGACTCCAACAGGTACTTGGTTCAGAACCTTAAAATGGACGAAGTGGCCCCTTATTCCTATGGTGACCAATAGTGTCGTTGCCAAAACACTACCTTCCCCCACTGGCTAAGCTGTCTGAAATCCCTTCCTTAAGGAAGTTTCTTTCTAAGTATGTGTTCAATTTCCATTGATACACAATGAATATAGCTTACTTAGCCAGAGAAATAAAAAAAGCTTCAATCAAGAGTTTTGAAAATAATTCTTGAAGAGTTTTACAGCTTATCCGTCCCACAGATATTTCAGCCCATGGCTGATATTTTAAACATAATTATTCTAAACTGAAGTCCCATAGACCCGAGATTCAGTTCAGAGATAACGAGTGAAAAAGAAAGAAGAAACACTTATATTGAAATGAAACAAGAAAGATTACAACAAAATATAAAATGGAGAAGATGGTTGATGCTCGTGAGGAGTCTCAAGTGAATGTTACAGAACAAGGTAGAAGTGTTGTCACTTAACTACAGCTACAACTATACAAAATTAAACTACTAACTAATATTTAGGTGATCTCTTCTTCGGGAATTTTATTCCTAAGGAATTCGATGATGTCTTCGTGTTTGGGACGTCCTTTTTATAGGCAGAAGAGGGAGTGACAGTCTTGTAAAATCCTTTGGAGTTGGTTTCTTGACTAAAGGAATGGGGAAGTGGCAACAGTGTTTGGAAGCTTGCAACTTGCTTGATGGGTCAGTTATTGTTGATGATTAGCCGTTTTCTTGCAGTCCCCTATATCTTGCTTTCTTCTTAGCGAATGAGAACTCTTTATTCCCTGCTGTGCACGTTTCTTTGCGTTTAGTTGGTGCACCGCCTCTGCTTTATGGAGACTTTGTTTCCACGTTTCCTGCAAAGTGAACAGAAGCATTAAATGAGTGGAGCAGGTGCATTAAATGCTCTCAATCTGTTCTCCTTTTCAAAGGATTATGTCATCATCCGTTCCCCCATTGTGTTTTTGTCACAAATGTGTAAAACAAGTGATTTTCATGCTGAAGTTGCTCATCAGATGAGGGAACGGGTGGTATTTTTCCATCAAAATGGGCTTAGATGGGAACGAATTTACGTCCCATCACACCACATTGGTGAATTTTTATTCTTTGTATCCATTATTTTCATAGTGGATGTTTGAACTGGACTAAGTCCCGTGGGTTTTTTACTTCTTCATTGGAGAAGGTTTTCCCACGTTAAAACTGCTTGTGTTCTCTTTCTCTCTCTCCCCTTTGTGTTTTTTGTTTTTTCGCTGCGCTGCCCGACCTGGTAAAGTTCAGGCCGAGGTAAAATTGTCGAGATCCGAGATACAGGATCTTGTTGACTGACTTCTGCGAGAAAGGCTGCTTAGCCGACTTGAGGGAACCGAGTTCCCAACATATTTTACATACTCTTCTTGTAGAAAGTCAAGTTAAATTTGTCTTTTATATGGGAATTGATTTTGTCAACCACTGAGTAATAAATTAAAATTTGACTTCTTGTGCTTCCTACTATGGTGTTCCTCAACCATTCCAAACGATTCAAATTATGGTGATTAAATTGAAAAATCAATAACCGAAAAATAAAAAAATAAAAAAAATCGCAAATTTTAATTGAATTGGACTAGTTTTCGATTTGGTTGGTGAAAAGCGATCCAATATATTAATTCTCATCTACCTACTTGGACTTTTCCCCAATCATAGCCCAAAAAATTCACCTTTTAACCCATCAGCTAAACCCAAGAAAAAACCTAGTCACACCTTATCAGCAAAATTTCGTCTATATAGAGCTTCATATCTCATTTCCCAAAAAAAATTAGATTATGATGTTTCTATATTTCAAAAAAAAAAATTTACAAAGCCAATACATATAAATTTTGAGCTTTTAAAAAATCGAAAATTGATTAAATCCAAACCGAAAAAGATTAAATTGGATCGAATGTGAAAAAAAAATCTAACCGAATGAATGATTACATGATCAAACTGGAGGAATTAGATCAAATGATTTTTGCTTCGAAATCCAATCTAATTCCATTGAATTAAGTACTCAAGAAAATCAGGAATTAAATTTGCTAAAATCGCTATGAGTTTGCTACTTTGCTTTGTCTCATATATATATATATATATATATATATATATATATATATATATATATACAGACTCCCTAAGCGAAATTCATTCTCAGCTAAACCAAATAAAATAAAAATGGAAGGCACCTACATGAACTTATTGATTCTCTCATCATTCTATTCAAATATATTTACAAAATCATACATATAAAAACATAATCTCACACAACAAAAACGATAATCTCACACATTACATGTTAAAAAACCATGGTCACACCACATCCAAGATTACAAGAACAAATAAAGAAGACAATGACAAATGTAGCAATGCGATCATAAAAGGTGAAGAGCACATGCACACGTGCCATCAAGTCTCTGTTTCTCGCTCTTCCTCTCTGTTAAGACATAAGTGAATGTGGTATGTGTGTGATGGAGAGATGGTGGCTTGTTTGCATAAGAAAAGCATGACATCAAAAGCGTTGCATTTCCAAACTCCCCAACCCTTCTTTCCCACAAAACCAGCCTCCCAATCCTCATTATCGTTTTGTGGTCCCCACAACCACGTGTCACACGATCTCATCCTTGATTTCCCGTGTGTCACAAAACCATCCTCATCTCGTTCGGTACGTTTATTATCTGAGGTCATGCATACACATAAACATAAACTGATAAACATACATACATTCCACCCTTTTCTTTCTTTCTATCTATCTATCCCAAACCCTTTCCCACTCATCAAAGTCCATTTAGCTATTTTGATCGAAAGCCTTCAATAATCCAAAGCGCTCCATATCCTTCTCTTTTCCAAATTTCACGAAAAAGAATACAAGCAAAGAAAGGAAAAGCAAAAGTAAAAAGAAAGAAAAACTTGTACTAATTAAAACAATGCATGATATATAGAAATTTGAACACAAAATTCTCATTATCATCGATCATGGACAGCATAGATTCATCATCATGCTCTCAGCATCCCCATCTCCCTCCAGGGTTTCGATTCCACCCCACGGATGAGGAACTCGTCGTTCACTACCTCAAGAGAAAAGCTGCATCTGCACCTCTTCCTGTTGCCATCATCGCCGAAGTTGATCTCTACAAGTTCGACCCTTGGGAACTCCCAAGTATGCAACTTTATCACACCCCATTTCATTTTTTCATCCATTTATTCAAACCCAGTTCTTACTTCTCTGGTTGCTTAGCATATGAATCAATAACCTGTTTTGGCATTGACTGTTTTACAGGTAAAGCAACGTTTGGTGAGCAAGAATGGTACTTTTTTAGCCCAAGAGATCGAAAATACCCAAATGGGGCAAGGCCAAACAGGGCTGCTACTTCTGGGTATTGGAAAGCCACTGGAACTGACAAGCCTATACTAACGTCTGATGGGCACCACAAAGTTGGTGTCAAAAAAGCACTTGTTTTTTATGGTGGGAAGCCTCCAAAAGGGGTTAAAACCAATTGGATTATGCATGAGTATAGGCTTATTCATAATTCCTTTGATTCTTGCTCTAAACCTCCTCCTCTGGCTGCTGATCCTCCACACAATAACAAGAAGAATTCCCTAAGGGTACTTTACTTTATATGCATTCCATTTTCATACATATGTTTCATTTTTTCGAGCTTATTTCTTTTAATAAAAAACTGAATATTAATTTTATTTTATTTTTAATTTTTCGGTTTTGTAGCTTGACGATTGGGTTTTGTGTCGAATATACAAGAAAAGCAATAGTACCACCCTGCCAAGGCCACCCATGATGGAGCTAGATAACGAGCTTTCAATGGAAACCATGGTACCAACCATGTCAACTTATTCAATGGCTAATACACACCAAAACTCTAAACCTCCATCTTCTAGAAGCACAAGTTATGGAACGCTAGGACATGAAAATGATGACAACTTCTTCGGTGGAATCTTAGCAACTGATCATCATCAGAGCATGCAAAACGGTTCTGATTCTCACCTAGTAGTCTCTCCAAACTCAAAAGGTGCTAATAATACCAATAATTTCCCCACGAAACGTGCACTAACATCACAGTTTTGGAACGAGACTGGGTCTACAGGGTCATCTTCTTCAAACAAGAGATTCCATGGTGATCTTAATAGTGGAAGCGCTGAAGAAAACAATTCCTTTGTTTCCCTGCTTAGCCAGCTTCCTCAGAGCACATCGTTGCATCCAAATGCGATTCTTGGGTCTGTTGGGGATGGTGTACTCAGACAACAATTTCAACTTCCCGGCATAAATTGGAACTAATAGTTTAGTTTAGCTTTTAGTATACACATACCTTCTGATTATGTTGCTTTCATTATTGGTTTGTTGATGCTGCTCTTAGTATTTTTCATTTTTGACAGTAACCATAGCATACACAAAAGGAAGAGATCGAGACTATTGGCCTATCTTTTGAAGTTGAAGCTTACAAAGTTGGGAAATTTAACTCTGCTGTTGCTAAAACTGATTTTTTTTTTAAAAATAAATAAATAAAAATAAGTGGATCTTACTTACTTTCTTTCTTTTTTGTCCGCCGCAAAAAATCTCATGTGCAGAAAAGAAGGAACCCTACAAAGTTAATTACACTAAATTAAATTGGATAGAATTGCATTATCACAATTATCTTATGTGAAAAGGAAATTTAATTAACGGAACGACGGGGGTGGAGCAGCAAAGAAATACAAGGGAAACATAGGATGAATATGTTTTCATTATATTGGCTTATTTCGAATAAGAGAGACTGGGTGATCATGCCGCATCTAATGTTTCTTCTTTTGTTTATATCCACTAGTTAATCAAAGCCAAATACAATTTTTGCAATTGAAAATAATGCATGCTACTATATATTTATGGAAGAAGTGTATGTCATTTTAAAAAATATAAAATTATGTCATTTTAAGTAAGAAAAAGAGATAGAACATTTTTATTCAACCCAAAGTAGTTTCTCTCAATTATTGCATTGGCATAAATACAAGGATGAGTCCCATCACTCTTTATATATATATATATATATATATATATATATATATATATATATATGTATGTATATATGTATAATTATTTCAGCCGCCGTTTTACGTACAGCAACGACAGGTGTATGGTTATGATTCTCCACATTTAATGCTTTCATCCTTTGTATGGTTATGATTTCTCGCATTTAATGCTTTCAAGTATATATATGACAAGTATTTGATTGATGTACATACAACAGCTGCAGATATGTAAACTCCATATATATATGTGTGTGTGTGTGGGGAATCATAACCATACACCAGTCGTTGTTGTACGTAAAGCGGCTGCAGATATGTTTATTACGTTTATTTTTTATTTATTTATTTAGAGATAGTGGGACCTACTATATTGTTGTGAGTGTGGCTCCTATAGCATGAGAGCCTATTTTTCATATATATATATATATATGAAAAAAATTTTCTACTATCACTTTAAATAAAATCATCTACAGTTATCCTTTTATAATCATGTATTTCCAAAAGTACATAGTTATAACATTAAAGTTGTTTTCTCTCTCTTCACGTCAGCAGACAGTTTCTGAAAAATGACTGAGAAGAGAGAAAAAAAAGTAACTTTAATGTTATAACTATGTACTTTTAGGATTATAGTTATAAAGGGTGGTTGTATAATACTTTATCTTAAGTGGTTGTAGACGTGTTTATCTCTCATATATATATGTGTGTGTGTGTGTGTGTGTGTTAAGGACGTAACCTGTGAAATAGGGACTCGTGTTTTTGGGTGAATTGTGCTTGTCGGACACGTGTCCGACACGCTCGGACACGCAGTCAATATTTTGGGACACGTAGTCAACTATCGGACACGCTCCGACACATTTTTTGGACACGCATTCAACTCTTTCCGACACGTGTTCAACACTCAGACACGCTGAGACACGTTGGGACACGCTCGGACACGTTTTTTTTTTTAATCTTAATTTTATTTTATTAACTAAAAATAAAAAAATCATTTATAAATCAATTTTTTTCTGTTATGAAATTTGACGTGAAAAATTATTTTTGTTTGTATTTATTTATGAAATTTAAATATTTGATTGGTTATATGACTTATTATAGACTGTTATATCTATTAAATATAAATTAATAATATTATTTAATATCAAAACGTGTCCCAACGTGTCAAAATATGACATTTATTAGAATTAAAGTGTCGGCGTGTCGTGTCCCGTGTCCCGTGTCAGTGTCCGTGCAACATAGGACGTAACTACCTTTGTAATTTAAGACTTGCTGAAAAGGAGATACAAAAAGGATGAAGCACGACCGAGAAAGTTAACGCCTAACAAGCACGGACACAGCAACTTTTGAAAAATTTGCGTGTCGGACACGTATCCGACACGGACACGCTCTGACACTCGTCCGACACGCGATCAACATTTAGGGACACGCGATCAACTTTTCGGACACGCAGTCAACCTTTTCCGACACGCGGTCAACGCTCCGACACGTTTTTTTTTAATCTTAATTTTATTTTGTTAAAAAAATAATTTATAAATTAATTTTTTTCTGTTATGAAATATGATATGAGAAATTAACAAAGTACAAAAAAATATTTATATTTATATTTATGTTATGAAATTTAAATATTTGATTAGTTATATGACTTATTATAGACTCTTATATGTATTAAATATAAATTATATTATATATATTAAAAAATTTATTTAATATCAAAACGTGTCTCAACGTGTCGAAATATGATATTTTTTAGAATTAACGTGTCGGCGCAGTGGCGGACCCAGAAAATTTTCTTTATGCCCGCACATTTAGTGACAAGGGTTCGCTGCCCCCGAAATTTTTTTTTTGTAAAAAAAGTTTAAATTAACGCTTCTGCTCATAATCTAGTTGCTTCCACAACAAGCTGCAGATAATAGTTTGACCATTCATTTTCTCCCCTAAATCTTACCAATCCTCCAAAATAAATATGAGAATATACTTCAGTACATCCATACATCATCATTTTATTTTATAGTGGATTAGTGGTGAATAAAAAAGTCAACATTATCTATACATAAGGCAAGCAAAATCACAGACCTCGTCTCTAGAGATTAACTTATTTCAGAATGTTAGAACTGCAATCAATCTTCTTTTTTTATAAAAATAAAAAAGGAAACAAAGGATGAAGAGAACATGAGAATGAGTACGTGACACGGGAGGAAGAATAAGTTTTCTCTCTAATCAATTTGCGTTGCTATGTTTTTTTAATCATCTCTATACGTTGCTACGTTGCTACGTTGCTAACTAATATAAAAATAAATATCATTTTTGGCCCCTAACAAAAAATTTGATCCTGAGTTTCGTCCATTATAAAAAAAAAGTAGACATCTGGTCACTATGAAATTCAAAGTGGACCCATTTAAGTCTTTTTGAGGGACTAATATGGATCTTTTTTGAATTTGTGAGGGACCACGATTTTAACTAAATTGATCCACTTTGAATTTCTCAGAGAACTCGAGACTAATTTTTTTTATAAGGGATTGAAGTAGGGACCATATTTTTTATTAGGGATTTAAAAGAGTATTTATTCTTTTTTTTTTTTGGAGTTACCCAACCCTAATTATCTCTTTGAGACGAGTTGGCTCCCTCCGGTATCCCCACGAGCTTCGACTCTTTGAGCCGGCTATGGGACTAATCCGGAGTGCGGGAGAACAGTGATGGCTAAAGGTTCAGCCCCCTCCCCAAGAATGCATTCAGCGGGAATCGAACACATATCCAACCCCACTAACTCAGCGCCAAATTACCAACTGAGCTGCACCCGTTGGGTAAAGAGTATTTATTCTTAATATAAATATTGAACCAAAAGATAAATAAGAACCTAAAAAAAAAAAAAAACTAAAACGAAAATTTCATGTCCGCACTTGCGGACATGTGCGTAGACGTGCATCTGCCACTGTGTCGGTGTGTCGTGTCTTGTCGTGTCCCGTGTCGGTATCGGTGCATCGTAGGTTAACACCAATTTCGTTCCAAAATTTCTTAAATCCTTATATGTATTTTTGGTCTTTCTTATCTGATTATCTTAGAGCATGTTTCGCAACAATTTTAAACAATAATAATAATAGTAAAAATAATTGCTTTTTATTGAAAAAATTATTTAAAATTTTATTTACTCTCACAGTAAAGTTATCGAAGCACGTGTAGTAATATGTGATTTTCCACATGAAGGGAAGCTTTTTGACTAAAAGTTTCTTATAATTGCAAGTACGGGAATGAGGAATCCTATCTTTTATGTATAAAAAAGTCAACGACGACTTAAAGTTGTTGAAATTTTGACCGTATAAATTCCTTACCACTAAGTAAGGAACTTCTATCGACTATCATGATCGCAGAGTGGCTGGCCAATAAAGCGGTTGACAACAGCTTACATGTCTTTCATGAACTTCTTCATGAGTTATTTACTTTGTTTAATGCAGGTATTTCTAATGTTCCTAGTTCTAGGCCTTTGATCATTGTAATTTTCTTTGTTTTGGGCTAACGCTTGTCTTTTTTATATTAAAAAAAAAACAGCTATACTTTTTTTCTAGACAAAATCGACATTTTTTATATTCACGTCTAATGTCTAATAGTCAGAAGATGTTGGATATATACTACATATTCGGTTCTTATTGGCACCATAAATATATTTACTGTTGCTTAGGTCGGGTTTTTAAACTTATTTATATTCCTTTATAAATAGAGTGCGCTTTATAACAAGTGAAATGAGGAAATGATAGTGAAACATTGCTGGAAGTAACTCACCTTGAGTGATTCAACATCAACATCAACATCAACTATACCTTTATCCCAAATTAATTGGGGTCGGTGGCAGATGAACCCACATAAAAGATACAAAACGGTTAAAAAAAAAGGTGAAACTCACCTTGAGTGATTAAGGATAAATTTTTGTCTCCGTCCTTTCTTCCCTTCTCTCTTTTATATTTTGTGACTGCGTGTGTGATTGTTTGGTCACAATTAGAAATACATAATCCACAATGTTTATATAATTTTGAAAATAAAATAAAATATTAAAAATAATACATGAACAAAACGGGATATCCAAGTATGAATTAACCTGGATCTAGTAGTTATATAATTGGGCCAAGCCCTATAGGTTAACCGGAGAATTTGTCAGAGCCTGGGTGAAATATATATATGCACGTTAATTGCGGATGAGGCCCTAGAATGATTTCCAACAAATACAGTAACAGCCCGATTGAGGTGCAGTAATCCGAAACCAAACAGGAAGGAACCAATATTTTATTT